AGCTTTGTGGAAGGAACATGCAGAAGAATTTTGAGAAATCACAAGCAGTTTGTAACTTCATATCAGCACGCATGGCACATCTCAGCCAGAAGTGAGGTAGGTAGCAAGAGGAAGGAGGTAGCACCTCCTTCAAGAAAGTAAGAGTTTTGCATTTGCACAGAGAGCGAGCCATGCATCTCCATCTTTGGAATAGCAGTGGAGATGAGCTGACTGATGTGAATCTGTTTCAGATTCCAAATCTGCTTTTAGCTCCAGGTTTGGTTTTTTGTCATGTTAGTGTTGAAACAGTCCTCTGGGAGTCTTAAAAACGTGTAGGAGGCGCTTCAGTGATAAGTAATTTAAGAAATGCTTCGCTTGCGAGTTAAAATTGGCCAGAAGGGAAGAGAAGGAATCTAGAAGAATCTTGTACCCTTTCCCCAATTCTTACCACGTAAGGTTGCATAAAAGGCTCTGCTTGTTGGTCTGTGCACTAATTAGTCAGATGGGCTGTCCTTGGTCTGAGCAATAAGGAGACCTTTCCCCTCTTCCCCTGCTCAGCTCCTTGAAACAGTGCACTTTATCCAAGTCCCTGCCTAGGAATTGCATGGACACAGTGGATAGAGTAGGAAATCTGGCTTCTCCAGCTGCTGTTGGATACTGACTTGATTGAGGAAGATTTCTACTGACAAAATCACTTGCCAGGTCTCCTGTTCCACGAGTTTTGTGCTAGAGTGCTGTGCAGGCTTCTAGCTTATCTGCAGTTCATTTATGGACATCTGTTACCGCTAGAATTCAGTGAAATCCCTTTTCCTTGGAATTGCAGCTTCCTGGAATGAGCTTCAAGTGTGGCTGGAACAAAACTTTTCCTTTGTCCCATGTATTGCACGGAAGTGTTATTTTTAAAGGCATATTTCTCTGATTTGGAGCAAGCATACTTCTGTGCAGATCATGGGACCAAGCAGGAGAGGAGAGGGGACTTCACTTGCTGATCCAATACCTTAATATTTATACAGTGCACTGCCTTATACAACAAACATGGTGAAGACCTGATCCTAACAACTCCGTCTTCCACAGATGGATGGATTTTAGTCAAGCCTAAAGGGAGTATACAGTGAGGTGAGGCAAATGAGAATAGCAGGGAGGAACCAGAGGAGGGTTAGACCTTGTTTTGGATCTGAAGCAGAGAGCTTTTATGTCAGACAATAACATGGTGGCCAGAGAGGTCAATTCCTTTATTCCACAGGACACATGCAACTACTAGCCTGGTGTTCAGGCAGTCACATAACACTACTGTCCCCTTTCTTCCAATCTTAATCCCGGTGTGTCTTTTTCCCTCCAATAAATGGGTAACGATTCAGATTATGTCACATGCACTGTAGCAGAGTAATTACATATCATACAGAGAAATCGCAAGCTGTGATTATTTTAGATTTCCTATTAATTTTAACCCAGTTCCAGAGTTGCTCCTTTGATCTAGCACATATATAAAATAATAAAAGATGTTTTCTTTGAAATAAATTTTAACTTGCCGTGTGTACATTTCCTGAGTATTATCCTCGTCTCTTTCACATCTTTGCCCTAGAAGATTAACAGGACAAATTCTCTTTTGTTCTGTTGGTCAAGCCATTCTCAGATTTTCTTGAAGGAACCACCCTGAAAGATACCCCTCCACAATTCTTTTGGCTGAGCCAAACTGTGATTTCCTGTGAGCTCTACATCTGCCATAGTCAGCTGAGATGAGTGCAGTTTTGACCATTCTTACTCTAGGGGGAAAAAAAAGGTCACATCACAAGCTGTGATGCCCTGACTGACTGTTCACAGCCAAGACTAGTTTTGGGATGCCACCTGTGTATGAGATGCTTTCAGGGTGGGCATTTAGTTGTGACCTGACCTAAGCAGTTAGTAATGATTACATCCACTGGGTAGGGAAGCCACAAGCTAAAAGCCACCAACTTAATCTGCTATTGCAGATGAAGAACAAGCCTAAGGGATATGGAGAGCTATACTTACCACTCGAAGCTTACTTGGGTCTACGTTAAACCCTTTGTGATCATAAAAGAAACCCAACTTGTTTGACACGAGCCATGCTCTGATACCTTTTGAAAAAGGTGAGTGCAGTTAGGGAGAGATATACTAGCTGGCAAACTTTCAGATTAGAGCCAAAAGCTTCCACTGATTTCAGCAAATGGAAAATTAAAGATCCTACTAGATGAAAAACATCAGCTTTAATGATCTAGAAACAGCCAATTCACTTGCATTGTTCTTAGAAGATATTCCACCAGAAGGTTTTCCATCTACAAAGTTCACAGCTCACAGGAGGCAGATTAGACAGCAAAACAAGCATGACTGAGGATCCTGAGAACTTGATGTTGAAAGGAACAATCGATAAAGCAGTTAAAGCAATTTTGGAGGGACTGGACAAGGATTCCCATTCTCAGCAGAGAGGGGAATGGAACTGTATTCTACATCCTGGAGAAATTACCTGTGGCCCCAACCTCTAATAAATAATAATAATAAAAAGCATTAACCAGCCTTCTCCTTTTGTCCAGTACTCTGGAAGTTGGAGCACTCGCCCAAGATAGGGCGTATCAAGGTTTAGTTAGGCAGAAAGAGATCAAAACCTGAACCTTTCACATGAATGCTTTTAAATCACTGCACTATTGTCAAAGCAAAAGGGCAGCCTAGGGTTAAAGTGTCCCTTGTAGGAGACAGCCTTAGCTGGAAGCTAGAGTCCCACAGAAATCCTTAACCAAGAGAAGGAGCAGAGTTAAACATTGGCATTGTGAAACATTGAAGAAGGAGCAACTTGGAACGAGGGACCAAGAGCCCTATTCAGGTTGGCGTTTGCTCCCAGGTGGATGGGGTAAGAAATACCTACCAGGGTAGGCCCTGAGAAGTGCTTAATCTATGGATTCTGGTGGGCCTTGAATACAAGCTAAGCAGTTACCTGCTCACCCTGGTACAGACCTTAGCCCTTCAGGGGCATGCCCAAACCCTTCCTTTACTGAATCTACCTAACCTCGGTTATAAAAGCACAAGTCTTGATGGATTTTTGCAGCCGCATGGTCAATTTGATGAAAATTAGGCAAAGACATTTATGGATCCAGTCTGCAACAGTTTAAAACCCCACACCAGCAAGGCAGCTACATGTTCTCTAGGAACATAACTGTTCCATCAAGAAAGCCCTTTTCTCTATTTCACTGTAATAAACCTGCTTTTCCCTTCCTTACAGTCAGTTCTAAGAGCTTTCACTTTCTCCCCAGGGTCAGTTCCAATACACACTGTGTACTAAGGCCGAGTAAGTACAAAATACTAAGAGCAACCCCCAAATCCTCTTCACTCCCCAAACCCCTACCCCACTACAAGCATGAAAAAAATCTCTTTGCATTTTATACTGGTACTGAAAGCTCTTTGAACTGAAATGTAATTACAAGTAATAGGTTGTTACGCTTTTAAACCCTTTTGAAGAGTATCTGCATTCCCCAAATGGTAATACTGGATCAGCAGTTTAGTTACAAAGGCTCTGCATTCAGAGGCAGACAAACTGAGGCATCTTTGAATGTTGGTGCTAGCCAGGTGAAACTCCTCTACGTTTGCCTGTAACTTCAACCCTGACCATTTGAATGGATTAGATAAGTGCAGTACAAAACGCATGTCAGAGAGTCCCAGAACCTTCCTTTCCCACTCAAAAGCATTTTAAGTATGGTTAGAGCAGATTACGCTCAAACTCACCGAGATCAGCTTTGCCTCCTTGCCTCCCACTGCTGCCAGTTTCTGACAGCTTACTGCAGGGTATAATTAGGGATTTAGTTTCTGGTCTTTCTTTCAGGCATATATTTGCCTCTTTTTTTTTTTTTTTCCCCTCTCCCACCAAGAAATTGAGTCATTATTTTGTTTCCCCTTGAGTTCTGCCCTCAAGAAAGTTTTGCCTCTTCCCCCAGCAGGGGTATTTTTGAGGGCACGCTACTTGTTCCCACTAGTAGCGTAAACTAGAAATGGTAGTGTTTTAGATATTCAGTATGACTATTTCATAAAATTCTGTTGTGTGCTGCTTGCCTTTAAATATATGTATACACACACATATCTATGCATACACATAAATACATAAAAAAGCCAGAAACATAGCCTTGGAGCTGCTGAAGAGTAGAAGCTATTTATAGTTTAGCCTTTTAATGTTTTAACAGTAATGGTTAAGCACTAACACTTCCAAGGACCGCATATTGCATTAAATAACTGGATCATACGGGAAGCATCCGCTTGTCATAGCTCATCCTACAGTGTGCTACAAAAAGCTCTGCAGTGCTTTCTCAAGTAGAAGACATTTCTCCCCTCACTCCCATTTTAAGGTACAGGCACAATTTCTGCTTCCTTTGCCACAAATAAGCTCTTTTCTTATTCTCACCTGTTTGTTTGGGTTATGTTTGCCCTGCTGGTGCCTATGCTCAGCCCAAGGAAGCCCCTGAGCTCCCACCCTCCTTCCCAGTGCTCCCCCATCCCTGCTCATATCTCCCCTTAGCCCTGTAGCTGTAGGTCCCTGTTCCCACCTGCCTACCTTGGACACAGGGACCTTCCCAGTCCCAGCAGAGTTCCTTTGGTCTCTGGAGAACCTTTTCCATAAAGCTCCTCTTGCCTGCTCATGCAGCCACAGCCCAGCAGGACCATGCTCCCCAGGGTACAAGAAGTGCAAGCCCCTTCGCTGAGCACGTGCTAGCTCAGGCAGGCCCACTTAGCACCCAGCTCCCCCCAGGTGCCTCGCTTGCCCCATTCCCCTGGGCTGAGCTCACCACATCACCTGGCTGGTGTGTCAGAGCCCATTTCCCCAGGCGGGCAGGCCAGCTGTGGGTGACAGCCCATCCCTCCCGAAGCCCCGGGACCCCCATCCAATTGCACTTACCCCAGCAGGTGGGACAGACGCCAGTCTGGCAAGAAACACACCCAAACCTTTGCGAAACGAGCCACTGGAGCGACAGCAGAGGAGATGCGAGTGCCTCTGGGCAGACTGCCAGGGCAGCTAAGTGAGCATGTCCAGCCCCTGGCGCCCAGGGAAGCGCATTGCCCAGGAAGCCTGGAGCATGAGAGCCAACGAGGCAAAGCCGTCACCGTCTGCTGGCCAGGTAGGGCGGGAGCAACCCTCGCTGCCTGAGGGCTGTTGCCCTGAGCGGCCCAGATGGATGCTTGGTTTTCACTCCACATCCTCTCCTAGAAGTGGAAAACTTTTGTTGCAGTGGAATAGGTGAATGTGGTAGGAGCAAGACCGACTTAGCTAAGCCTCAGGACTGACCACACATCAGTCACGCTTGTGACACAAGCGTTGGTTTACCCTGAGAAGGGGCAGGTGAACGCACCCACCTTAGATAAAGGCCAGGATCCAGTATGTAAGAATGAGGTTTTTACCTTCTACCCTTCATCACACACACTTACACTGCCATCTAACCCAGCCCTTCTGTGGAAACCAAATTAGGAGACACAGCTGGTGTCGGTCACAAACCCTCGCTGCCATCCTGAACTGGGCAACTCCTGACACCAGTCAAAGAGAAGCATCGCTGGGCCCTGCTAGAACCTGAAAGAGCAATGCAAATAGTAAACATCTTCCCTGGCCATGGCCTCGAGCCTCACGCTCCCTATATAACAGAGACCATCCAACAGAGCCCTAAGCAAGGTGTTTGGGGGGTTGTACAAAAATTGTAGTCAAAGCAATTGTTTGGCCATGGTTTTTTTTTTCTTTGGCAGGCAAGTCTGTCAAAAAGAGAAAGCCTTGCCAGCAAAACACGCAGCGCTCGGTAGCAGAGCCCAGGTGCAGCGCTTTCATCTCTGACAAAAAGTCCACACACCTTGAGAAGCTGGAGAGCAAACACGATGGGAGCATATCTGGCAAGGAGAAGTGGCTCGCTGCTCACTGTCTTCTTGCATCTTGAATGTCCTCAGACTAAGCTGCTCGGCTGAGCGTGGTGCTGCGTTGCTTCCATCATGCAAAAGCTTGCCGTTTTCCCGTGCCGGGTGGCTGTGGGCCAGCCCCACGCCCCAGCAATGCAGAAGGAAGAGTGTTCCCTGCGTCACTGTGGAGGCAGCAATGTGGCAGTGCCTCCGAGGCATTGACATGGGGTGTGGATTGTGGGGGGCAGCCCCGTGGCTCCATGTGGCAAAGGGGATGCCGGAGCTGTGATGCCAGGGCCAAGTGCCTTGGCAGAAGCCCTCGAGCTGCCTGGACTAAATGCGGGCAGGACTACACAGGGCTGTCAGAAGCCTGCTGTGAGAGGTCCTCAGCCTCAGGCTGCCACGCAGTCATCTGCTGGAAAATAAATGGCGACAGCCCGCTGTGGACTCGCCCGAGCTTGTGAATGGCAGCGATGCTTGTCATAGTTACAAGGCGAGCAGTGCTGCCTGCTGCATCCTGGTCCCTCTGTGAGCATCTGCATAGGTGTCCTGCCTGTCTTGCCCTGGGGTGAAGCCTTGTGTCCTCCATCCTGGCACCAGGCTAGGATACACCAGCCCATCTACTGCCCTCCAGGCTGGACTGTTCTTTAGAACGCTCATGTTTCTTATGCTATGCTATAATTACTGACCTTCTTAACATGAAGTATTTTTATTTGCTAATTGAAATGTGGAATTAGGGAGAAAGGGTCCTTAGACAGCAAGAGACTGCTTGCGGGATCAGTCTCATCTGATGCTACGTACCATGACAAGGTGAGTTAGAGGAAAGCAATGAACACAAGTAGCGCTGATGCAAGGTTGAATCTTGGCAAGTGTACGCTAGCATTGAAAACACAGGGTGAGTGTAGCAAAAACCAGGCATCCCCCATCCTAGCTGCAACCCAGCCATGCCGGTAATGGCAGCAGAGATGCAGCAGCATGACTTTTAAAGCAGGATAGCAACCAGCATGGGAGACAATGGGAATGCCTGCGTGTTGCTGCCCTAGTTTAGAGGTTGTACCACTCCAGTACTGTGCTGCCCAAGTAACTACACCAAAGCTTGTATAGCCTCCAGTTATCTCTCTCCGCCCTGCCTCTGTTTTGACCATGCTTTTAGAAAACTAATTTATCTGTGCCCCCTCACTCCAGTCTCCATTGACAGTAATGCTTTTGCTGCGATTCGTCTTCTTCCCCTGCTTTTCCTCTTGATTATTGCTATGTGTCTAAAGAAATCTTCGTGTCAACCCACCTCAAGTTCTCCCCTTCCCTTTCTCAATTGTTTCTTTGTTTCAGGTTTAAGCATGAATTCTCCTGGTACCCCAGACTGATTTCTCCTTGTTGTCAAGAGCAGCCAGTGACATTTACTGGAGTAGGGCTCCTCAGGGAGCCTGCACCAACATGTATGAGACAGTTATCACTGCTGTCCTGGATGTCCTTTCCCAGTCCTAAGCATCTGGGTTTTGCTCAACTCCGTATGTTGATTAGCAACACCCTCAAAAGTCAAGCTATTCTGGGTATTTATCACAAAGTGTAGTTAATATAGACATTTGCGGGTATGGCTTATTCAGTGTGCTTCGCATCATTGATGGGCAGCACCCCGCTCATCACCAGTGGGCAGAGGTAGGAATGAGGGACTGGTGATGCTGAGCACCAAGCCACTCTGAAATGTGATGTGCCAAGCCATTAGTGCTGGGGCTGTGGCAGATCCAGCCAGCCAAGCTCCATCTGAGGCCGTCATTAGCGGGTCAGTCAAGGCCCCGACCGGCGCTTTCGGTAGAAGTAGGAACTTTAGGGCTATTCACAGCAATTTAAAGCCACCGTCCCATCACGGCAAGCCGGGCGGAGCCCTCGGTACGTGGCTCGGCTCAGCTCAGGAATTCGGCGGGGTAAAAGGCACGCGCTTTGGTGCGCAGTCACTTACAACGGACCGAAAGTACGGGCAGCCGCGTGTCCAGCGCCACGGACGAGGAGCCGCAAGCGAGCGCTTCGCTGTAGGCGCTGCGCCAGGCCGAGGGCCCCGTCTTGGTCAGCCTAGAGAGGTCGGGGGTGGGGGGACTGAAGTATTTCTGATTTTCTGGAGCGGGTGCCGGGGGGCCGTGTCACGTCCACGGGCGACTCACCCAGGCCCGGCCGGCTCCATTCACGGGGCTTTTTGGGGCCGGCCGGGCCCCGCTCCCCGAGA